CTAAGGTACCCTTAACGTTAAGGTGAAATTGAAATGAGTTCATTTTGTGGCTTAAGATTCACCTTGAACTAAGGAAACTTGATATACAGTGAAACTTGTATTAAGGATGACTTAACGACCTAAACGTTATTCTGTTCCTTAAGGTGACATCGAAATACCGGCCCTAAGTCTTTGTCAATCTTAACCTTAACCATAACCAAAGAGGATTGATTTTTTATTTTAGTTTATTTTTTATTTGCATGTTTGTTTATGCTTGTTTTTTGCTTGTTTTTTTTTTTTCAATTTTCACATTAAATTTTAAGCTTCAATCCAATTAAATCGATATTACCCAATTAATAACTGTTATTAAACTTTCAAAATAAAAATGTGAAAAAGCAAAGCAAAAGCAAAGCCAAAGCAAAAATAATCAAATTAACAATAAACCCTCGAATTAACCCATTAAAAACAGATTAAAAAAAAACAATGTTTAAAACATGTTTTAAACTGTTTAAAACAAATGTGATTAAAACACCATCCTCTGTTTAAAACATGTTTAAAACAAATGTTTAAATCATTTTGTTTTAAACATAACAACTCTGCTAAAAAGGCTACTGGAAGCGACAGTGTTCCAGCATATATTTATAAAGGGTATGCAGAATTTATCTCTGAGCCACTTGTGCTTATTTTCAACTTGGCCCTAAGTAAAAATGAATTTCCTGACCGTCTCAAAGAAGCTATTATCACACCTGTCTTTAAATCGGGTAATGTGGGTATGGTTGAAAACTATAGGCCCATTAGCATTTTAAATTCAATAGCCAAAATATTTGAACACATACTTTGCGATGATATTGGGTCTTCAAAAAAAAAACCAATCAAAGATTGCTTTGGTTACGAAAACGTACGTCGGATTATTGTTTCTTTATTGGCCAGAATTTTTGACATGACATTTTGACATTAAATTTCATTGACTGACATTGTCAAAATTAAAGAAAAATATTGCTAAGACGTACGTTTAAAAAACCATAGCAATCTTTGGTTTTTTTTTGAAGACCCGATATTTTGCAATATTTTCAAAGTAGATTCGCACCACAACAGCATGGATTTTTGCCTGGAAAGTCCACTGTTACGAACTTGAGCATTCTTACAGACACGGCAGCTGAGGCAATAAACAGTAAACACCAGATGGATGTAATCATGACGGATTGTGCGAAGGCTTTTGACAAGGTTGACCATGGCATACTGGTTCAAAAAGTGGGTGAATTTGATTTCTCTAGGGAGGTATGTCTCCTTATAAAGTCTTATTTGTCATCTAGGCAACATCAAGTCAAAGTAGGTAAAAAGCTATCTAAAAGATTTATGCAGTGGATAGAGGTCCGAAAATTCGGATCTCTAGTATTCATACTAAAGTTCCGATAATTCTCGGATTTTCAATTTGTCTATTAGGAGTCCGAAAATGCGGATCTTCAGTGGTATTATTAAAGATCCGAAAATAGATGTTTATTTCTAATTCTGTCGTAATTGAGGAATATTATAATATTCCTCATTTCAAAAAATTGATAAAATGCTTGTATTTTTAAGGATTTATACTAGAAAAAATGGATCCTCTAATCCTTTTTATGTAGAATAACTAATCAAGTTTACTCGAAAATATTTGGTTGGTGCAATTTCAAACAGAAAAGTACAAAAAAACAAAACTAAGTACCTTTTTATTTTTTTAAAACATTACATAATTAAAAATAAATATTTCTTCATTTTAAGGGTTGATAGGGTAAGAGGTGTGAGGTGTGATTTAGTTCCTTCTGCACTGCATGCAAAACCAGGCTTTCTTACTAGAAGGCAGCTTTGTTACTAAACAACACACTAGGTATATGTTTACACCGAAGACATGAATCACGCCGTAAGCAATTTTCATGTATCACTTTGTTACGTATATCACAAATCCATTTTAGAATACTATTTTGTTTTTCTCCAATTCGTTTTTGTAATAAAACATAAGAATCCAGACAAAAATATGTTTCTATTTCTGCTAGATATTTATTTTTCAAGAAGAAGTGGATCAATTTGTTGATGATGAGGAATGTTTTATTTCTCATTTTTAAAGTTTTTATGTAATGCTTTGCTTACCAAATCATCTGTATTTGAAACTGCATTAAGCATTATCTGGTGTCTCAGTTTAGGAACTTCATTTTTGAATAAAACACTTTTATTTTTCTTGGACCTTTTTAGTCCAATTGCAGTGAATTGATGTCCTTTGGGTTTTCCTTTATGGGTTTCAAAGGAAATTTAATACTATTTATTTTTTCTTCTAATTGGTTTTGTGCAGTAGTATTTGGTTCTTGGGCTACTTTCATTAAAATGGTGTCGCAAATATCTACAAAGAATAGGTAATATTCAAGATAAGTCTGTTTCTGCAGAAATCACAAATTAGTCAGAGCAAATTTCATTGGTTGAAAACAGTCAGAAAACTAGTATCAACCCATGAAATTCACTCTGACTGGTTTGTGATTTCTGCAGAAACAGACTTATCTCGAATATTATTCTTTGTAGATACTTGCGACGATACTCCTCTTTAATTAGACAGAATTAGAAATAAACATCGATTTTCGGATCTTCAATACCTATTACCACTAAAGATCCGCATTTTCGGACCCCTAATATACAAATTGAAAATCCGAAAATTATCGGATCTTTAGTATGAACACTAGAGATCCGAATTTTCGGACCTCTATCCACTGCCAAAGATTTATTGCAACATCTGGAGTGCCACAGGGCAGTAATCTTGGGCCTCTGCTCTTTGCAATTTTCATAAATAACCTGCCGGTCAGTCTCAACTTTTCTGACTGTCTTCTGTACGCAGATGACTTCAAAATCTTTAAAGTTATTAGAACACCTCAAGACTGTCAGCTCTTGCAAAGTGATCTGCACTCTGTTACGCAGTGGTTTTCTGATAATAAAATGTTTTTGAATATAAGTAAGTGTCAAGTAATTACTTTTATTTGCAATCATATATGTAATCTTGTCATTACTGACTTTTTAAAAATTTGGAAGTGACACTTTACCTGTGTCACTTCCCTCTTCGATTTCCCACACCGATTTCCCTATTCGACTTCCCTCACCGATTTCCCTCACTCTAATTTATTTACCTTTGCTGGCAACAATAAGAACATGTCAGGTGAAAACGTCAAAGCAGTCAATGACACATTTTGGCATGTTGGTTTTATTTTTTTAGTATTAAAAAAATTGATTGATTAATCATAATTAATGGCGTGCTTGCAAATAAAATAGTATACAAACCTCGGAGGAAAGTTTTCATTTCTGTCTCGAGATTAATAGTCAATCTCTCGACAGTAATGAAACACTTCCCTACTCGGTATGTAATATACTATTATTTGCAATCATATATGTAATCTTGTCATTACTGACTTTTTAAAAATTTGGAAGTGACACTTTACCTGTGTCACTTCCCTCTTCGATTTCCCTCACCGATTTCCCTATTCGACTTCCCTCACCGATTTCCCTCACTCTAATTTATTTACCTTTGCTGGCAACAATGAAAACATGTCAGGTAAAAACGTCAAAGCAGTGAATGACAGATTTTGGCATGTTTGTTTTATTTTTTTAATATTAAAAAAATTAATTGACTAATCATAATTAATGGTGTGCTTGCAAATAAAATAGTATACAAACCTTGGAGGGAAGTTTTCATTTCTGTCTCGAGATTATTAGTCAATCTCGACGCTTCGCGTCTCGATTGACTATATAAATCTCTCGACAGTAATGAAACACTTCCCTACTCGGTATGTAATATACTATTAAACGAAAATCAAATCACGTCCAATACGACTATGTAATGGACGGGGCTGTGCTCGATAGAAATAATGTGTAGGGACCTTGGGATTTATTTGCAGACTAACCTAAAGTTTAATACCCACTATAAGAATATTGTTGCTAAGGCATATAGGTCTTTAGGATTTATTATTAGGAACACAAGACATTTCAGGGCGATTAGTTCAATAGTTACTTTGTATAATGCCCTTGTGAGGCCACACTTTGAATATGCCTCTGTCATCTAGGCTCCCCAAGCTGAGGTCAATAATGCCCTGATCGAGAAAGTACAAAAGAGATTCTTGAGGTACCTTTATCTAAAACAACACAACATCTATCCGTTCATGATATCATATGCTAGTACCTATGTTGAAAGAATTTAAATTGCAGTCGCTGATGGAAAGGCGTAGTATGCACTCGGTTTTGTTTGTGTTTTATATTGTTAATAACATGAGATATAGGGATTGTTATTTAATTAATAGAATAACATTTAAAGTTCCTAAGATTAAACTAAGAATAACAAACTGTGTAACTTTTCATTGTAACCCACAAAGTTGCTCACCACTAGTTAATATGCTGAAAGAATGCAACTCAGTGACTGAAAAATGTGATATAGATTTTTTTGATACCACTGCTAAGTTAATTAAGCAGTGCTTCAACTCCTAGTCAAATCCTAGTTGATTCTTGCATAATATTTATAATATTTATGTTAATTTGTTCAAATATTGAAAAGCCTGTAACTCCCTAATTTGTATTTTATTGTGTATTTTATTTTATCTTGTGTTTTTTGTCTCTAGTTTTAATTTTTAGTATAGTTTAGTACCAGTAAGCACTCTTATATATGTAATTACAATTTATTGTGTATATGTGAGAGTATAAATAAATAAATTAAAAAAAAAAAAAAAATAAAGGAAACTAAATAGTTCCTCTAAAATTGTAGTAGTTTTGTATATTTGTATCCTCATTTTAATTTGATCTTTGTATATTTGTACTGTCCAGTCTGTCCAATAAAAAATAAAAGAATAGATAGGTTGTATTTCTCTTTGACTGCACCTGAATATATTTCGGTAGCGGCATTTTGTTAAGCATCAAATTACGCAACTGTATATCTCACTGTTTCCGAGATCCCAATGGTAAGGCTCGAATTTGAAACACCCTGTACATACAAACAGAGGATTATAAACATTATCCTATCATAAATAATATATCTTTATTGATAATAACAAAATAAATATTATACAACAAATGGCACAAAATGTATACTTAAGTGTTAGAGAAAACAAACAGAATGTACAATTAATAATAATTATTCAAGAGTTGTCAACAGTTTCACTAAGAACATTCCCATACTGTAGACGAAGATACAGAGTTCTTTTGTCGAGTTACAACTTCCACATGAGCATCTAAACCATCAGATAATCTACTGAGTCTCCTTGCCCAAGAACCTCTTATACCTGCAAATACCATTCATTTGAAACTATAACATGGTTTCTTTAATACGATTTACCTATTTTTGAATCATTATTTTTATTCGCATTATCATTTTCCCTAATAGTATTCAGTACGTCGTCGTAATCATAATCAGTTTTTCTCAGTCCGTGTTCGTATTTTGCTTCTTTGGCTAGCATAGTTTCCCTTTGGATTTGAGTGTTAAGCTCAGAAGGCACGTCCGGAATCACATACTGCATTATACCGACAAGAGCAAAAACGATATGTTCGAAAACAACTACAAATGCTAGCCTGGCAGCAAAAACGTGCCAATATTGAGGACTCAAACCATACGGATCAGTTTCGTTCGGACCATTTCGATAGCCTTTAAAAAACCAGGGACTATATATAGACAAACAACTAATCAATGCATCAAAATTACCCCTATATTGACAAATATCAGGTGTACGACTTGTTCTAGGTGGTCCCATGTCGTCATCATAGTCAGAAGTGTTGAAAACTATAAAAAATACCTACTTAAATTTTAGTCAGTGGAATATGACTGGTAATTACCTGAAAGAGATGAGTCAATATACCCGACTAAAGTTTCAGTTTGGGAATATTTGTACTTGTAAACCATTCTTGGTATAAAGTCACTGGTATAAGCTATCACGAAAGCCTGAAAATCAATGAAACAAGATCTGAAAAAAAAACATAAGGAACAGTGTAATAATTACATTTGACACGACAGCCGCATAAGTTATAGCCTTTAGTATGCCATACCATGCACCAATATCTTCAACCCTTTCGGCTAGAGGTCGTCTTGCTTGAGTTACAAATTTATAGGCGTCCAATCGGATTTCAGCAATATTATTCAGTAGAGCGCATAGAGGGGCCAATGGGAATGCTGCTACGAAAAGTGTGACGAAACCATATTGAAGAACTGTAGAGAGAATAGGTAATACAAATCAAGTCCATAAAGTGTTTTCATTCGGACTTAATGGCCGTCGTACGTTGGAATTTCTTCCTGACGTTTCGCTAGCACGCGTGGCTAGCATCTTCAGAGGTGCTTCCATGTCCGATTCTGGTAGCAGACTGACGCGTTCCCGACCGTAAGTTGTATTTATGTGTGAGTGGCTGTGGTGGGGGAGGGGCGGGGCTTCGCAGCACGTGGCTAGTCTGAACTTTCTCTGTACTCAGTGGGATCTTTCTTGCGTTTTTGAGGATATGGTTAAGTTTTAGTGTTTCTTCTTTCCTGTTGAAGTTCTCCGTATGTTTGTGGATTTCTATAGCTTCACGTACAAGTCGATTGTGGTATCCGGAAATCGGTACAAGAAGCTTGACCTCACCAAAGAGTATTTCGTGATTCCCTTCACTAAGCGCATGTTCCACAACTGCCGATTTTTCCGATTTTCCTAGTCTGAAGTTTCTTTTGTGCTCGTTTATTCTGGTTCCCATGGATATTTTTGTCGTTCCTATGTATACCTTATCACATGTGCATGGTATACGATAGACTCCAGCGCTTGACGGTGGGTTCTTCTTATCCTTGGCTGATCTGATTGATTGCTGTATTTTACTTGTTGACTTGAAGATTGCTTTTATGTTGTGTTTCTTCAAGACTTTTCCTATCCTGTCTGTCCCCCGAGAAATGAAAGGCAGATATACATTGTCCACCACTGGTTGTTCATCCACGTTTTGTCGTGTGGCAAATTTGGGTCGCATGGCCCTGTCGATTTCAGATGCATTGTAACCATTTGATAGAAAGGCCGACTTGAGGTGATCCAGTTCTTGCTCGAGATTTTGTGGCTCGCAGATGTTCCGAGCACGTTCTTTAACGTTCTTATAATTCCACTTTTTTGCCTTGGATGGTGGGTTCGTGGGTTGAGAGTGCATGCAGGTACCTGTCTGTGTGTGTAGGTTTTGGTACACTGTACGTGGCTTAGTTTTCCTCCGGATTTCTTTATGAGCAAGGCGATTTCTTGGTTTTTCTCCTTTTTCATAGTAAATTGTACGCTAGCATGTTGCGGGTTCAGCTGGCCTAGGAACTGGTTAAGTTCTCTTACCCATGACTCCAGACCACAAAAGTATCATCTACGTATCGAAGCCATACTGTTGGTTTGTGGTCAAAAGATTCGATAGCTTTCCTCGCGAAATTCTCCATAAAGAAGTTGGAGCGGACTTCCCATAGCTACACCGTCCGTTTGCTCGTAGAAATCGCCGTTCCAAAGGAAGAAACTACCAGTGAGACATGTCTGGAAAAGCTCAACTATGTCATTGGGGAAGGTACTTGATATCAAGTCAAGAGATTCTGTCAATGGCACTTTTGTGAATAGAGACACGACATCAAAGCTGACCAGGATGTCCTTAGGTTGGAGAATAATATCCCTAATTTTCCGGACAAAGTGAGTGTAGTCCTTGACGGGAGAGCTAATTTTTCCTACATGCGGTTAAGAAGCGATGCAAGATGTTTCGTTAGGTTGTACGTTGGTGCTCCACGTGCACTCACTATAGGTCTTAGCGGGATTTCAGGTTTGTGAATTTTGGGTAGGATCCTTCTTTCGGTAGGTAGATGGATCAAGGAGTTGTTTAATATGATTTTTATTAAATAAAAATAGCAATTATTTAAATTAATAATACTTTTATTAATGAGCACGAGTACATTGTCACATTTCCATTCTAGGTTCTGTTCTAGACCATTCACCTGTGCCATTCACAATGACGTAACGTCAACTTAACTAAAGGCAGGTATACATAGTACTCTACACTAGAGTAGGTCCTCTGACTCTCAACACCTTCCCCTCAAAGATTGAGTTTCCGGGTAGGTCGGACTGAGCGACCAAATCGGGAGCTCTAATTACATTTTGTCTCTATCTCATAATCGTGACTATATTCTGAAACTTGATCACTAAGTCTTGATGTACTTGGATCTGTACTACTTGGTGAATTAAGCGTTGTTTCATAACTACTATTAAAAGATCTTACAGAGCAAGGACTATTGTAAACAGAAACTTGAGGACTCACAACATTATTAGGATGAATGTAGATATTATTGTCATCGTTCTCGTTGGGATACAAATCGGGTTCACAGAGAAACCTATAATCAGATTTGGTGTAAGAATGTTTCATATGGGCTGTATTGCATCTTACAATTCTGTCATTGTTTTCTTTTTTAACCCAATAAGACTTAGGTTCACTAGCTTTCTCAATCACAATTGCTTTTTGCCATATGTTCTCTTTAGGTGTTTTAATAACTACTTTATCCCCCTTTTTGTAGTCCAACGGTTTTCTACGTGCATATTTATCAAAATTATTTTTCATAACTTGTTTTTGTGTTACAAGTTTCTCATAAATGCCTGTTTGAACTTTAGGTTCTAATATCATGGTACTGACAGGAAGTTCTGATCTCAAATTTCTGCTTTGCAAAATTTGTGCCGGGGTAGCATCAAGACTTATGATAGGTGAGTTATTATACTCCATTACACCTTCTCTAAAATCATGCTTGTCATCTAAACTCTTCTTTAGTATTTGTTTAGATATACGCACTGCCCTTTCTGCCATGCCATTACTCTGGTGATAATGAGGAGAGCAAGTTGTTATAACAATATCTTTATCTTTGTAATATTTTTTGCAACGGCTTGACAAAAAAGGTAGATTGTCTGCTACTATAAATTGAGGATAGCCAAAGCGGGTAAAAATATCTTGGAAACAATTTAAAACTGCCTCAGAGGTCTTATCTTTTATAAATACTAACTCTAGCCAATGGGAGAAATGGTCAACAACAACTAAATAGTTTTTTCCCCCATGTTCTACAATATCTGCAGCAACTTTACTAAATCTGTGAGTTGGGACACTATGTGGCATAAGAGGTTCCTTAAAATTAGCAGGCATCTGCTTCTCACAAACGCGACATTTCTTGATGAAATCTATTATGTCATTAGACAGATTGGGCCAATAAAATATTGTTCTTGCTTTATTTATGGTCTTACTTATGCCAATATGTCCTTTATGTAATAACTTCATCATATCATGCTTAAGGCTTTGAGGCACCACAATTTTGTCCTCAATGAAAATTATGCCAGCCTCAACATATAAGGATTCTCTTAAAGGGTAGTAAAATTTAGAGTCAGCAGACATGTGTTTTTCTTTCGGCCAGCCATTATAGTAATACTCAAAAATTTTAATTACGACTGAGTCTTTACTAGTTTCAAGTCGGAATTGATCTTTTCTTTCCTGAGTCATAGGTAAATGTTTTGATATTGAATGGACCATTTCACACATTTCATGATCAAATGGGCCTTTAATTTGTAAGCTTGATCTCGAGAGCATATCTGCAAACTACATTTTTCCCAGGGACATAATATATTTTTAATGAGTATATCAAGAGTTTAAGTCGTAATCTTTGTAATCTAACTGATCCAAATTTGTGGATAGGCTTTTTCATGATGGAAACAAAGGGTTTATGGTCAGACTGTACATCAACATTTTGTCTGTATATGAAATCGTGAAATTTTTTAGTTCCAAAATAAATTGAAAGAAGTTCTTTTTCTGTCTGACTATAATTTAATTCATGATCATTCATAGATCGTGAAGCACAAGCCACTAACTTTAAAACATTCTTATCATATTGCTGGAACATACAGCAACCTAGCGTCACACTGCAAAACAGTTTTAAGATTTGGGTTAAACGGGAGCTGGCGAATTTGTAATAATTACTTTCAAATCTTCAAAAGCTTTTTTGTGTTTATTTAACCATACCCATTCTACATTAGACTTTAGTAGTTCACACAATGAATGCATTATTTCTGACATATTTTTAACGCAGCGCTTAACATAATTAAATGATCCAATTACTCTTTGCAATTCTACTTTATTTTCAGGGCTTTTAAGCATTTTTAAAGATTCAATTCTGCCAGGGTCAATTTGCATGCCCTCTTCCGAAAACATTTGCCCTATGAATTTAACTTTATTTTGAAAATATTGTAACTTGTCCTTATTGAATTTTGCATTTACATTTTTCGATTTTTTTACAAATTCATCAACAGCCTCGTCATGCTCTTGGTTCGTTTTCCCAGAAATAATCATATCATCGTGACATATAATTACGTTTTTAAGATCTGAAAAATGTTTTTCAACCTCATATTGGAATAAATCCTGGGAGTTTGATAAACCATAAGGCAATACAATAAACCTATATATGCCAAATGGGGTCGCGAAACAACATTTCCAAGAAGATTTTTCATTTTATTTCAAATGATGGTACCCCTCAGCAAGATCGAACACGGTGAAAAATTTTTTGTTTCTCAATTTAGAAGAAATTTCCTCAATATTTATGCTAAGTTTAGGTTCACGAACAATTTGAGAATTAATATCTGAAGGATCCAAACATAATCTAATTCTGCCATTAGATTTTTCTACAATGACAATTCTATTGATACTTGCTTCGGGTTCAATTTTATCTACTTTAACAATAGCTTTTCGTTCTACTAAACGATCCAATTCTTTCTTAAACTCATCACGAATAGCCAAAGGAATTTTGGTAGGGGGGTGACATACATTTTCAAAATTTTCCTTAGTTGGTATATTGTGTTTACTAGGAAATCCCCCAAATCCTGTAAAAATTTCAGAATTTTGGTTGATAAAATTTTCTTTTTCTTCAAATTTTTCACATTTTACATTGTTGATTCTCTTTATTAAATTTAGATTGACACATGCTTGGCCCCCTAGCAAAATTTGATTTGCTCCTTCAACAATTACAAAGTCTTCATAAATTTCTTTATTTTTCAAAATACAATGCAAATTTACAATTCCAATGGGTCTTGCCTGAGAACCCTCAAATCCTTTTAAAATATATTGTGTTGGTCTAACTTTGAATTGTTTGTTTATTTCTTTGAAAACTTTAAGGGGTATTACACTAACATCTGCACCAGTGTCTAGGCGTATCTTTACTTTCTTATTTTCTAAAGTAATAACTTCAGTGAATGGACTTACCAAGGGATTCGTTGAGTTATTCACAGAATTCACAATAAATACCTCATCAGCCCCACTACTAGAACTTTCGTTATCACTTTGTTCCACATTTCTTACACTTTTTACTCGGCATGAGACTGCAAAGTGGTTTTCAATACCACATTTTCCACATTTTTTCCCAAACGCAGGGCATTCTCTGGGTCCATGTCTGGTTTGGCACCTTGAGCACTTAAATATTTTCTTCTGCCCAAACTCAGTATTAAATTTATTAGATTTATTTCTTCTTGTATCAAATTTTTCTCTCATATTTGTTGACTTCTTTTTGTCTTGCATTCTATTTATGTCAACAGCTGCATTTTCTTGAAATTGTAGACTCTGGGATTTGCTCTGTTCTGAAGTTCTACAAAATGTTATTGCTTTGTCCAATGTAAGGTCATCGAAACGTAGGAGTGCTTCCCTTGTTACTAGGTCTTTAATGCCCATAACTATTCTGTCCCTTAGGGCTTTATCTTCATTGCTCTGGTTGGGATCATTGGCATTATAATTGCAGGTTTTTATTAAGTGTTTACACTCCGTGAAAAAGTGGTCAAAACTCTCATTTTCTTTCTGGTATCTTCTTGAGAACATATATCGTTCAAAGCATTAATTTTTTCTGGGGTTAACATATTTCTCCAGTTCGGCTAATGTGCCTTCATATTCATCAATTGCATTGGGTGCAATTGTAAAAGTTGACATGATGCGGGCTGCATCGTTTCCTATTATATTTCGTAAAATAGACAATTTTACATTTGGATTGGCCTGATCCTGGCCCGTGGACACAAGATAGTCGTGGAATGCAGTTTTCCAAAATTTCCATTCCTGAGCTGCATTCTGCGCTTGTAGATCAAAATCCGGTGGCAATTTTACTAGGCCACTTACGTTTGCCATGATAAACTTTGCAATTTATTTGAAAATTTGAAACTTCACTGAAACTTGAATTGAAATGCACTGGACAATTATTATTGCTGTAAATTTAGCACGTTTCACTTTTTCCATATACTTATTGCGCTTTTAAACTTAAGCCGCATTTTTTCCAGGACTGCGCCATGTTTAATATGATTTTTATTTAATAAAAATAGCAATTATTTAAATTAAAAATACCTACTTTTATTAATGAGCACGAGTACATTGTTACACTTTCATTCTAGGTTCTGTTCAGTGTTGCCGGACCTGAAAATTCTCATTTCCCTTTCCAATCTCACAAAATACCCAATTTTACCCGCACATTGAAACTGAAAACTGCGAATTGAATGTATTCGAATCTTTTTCTAAAATTATGTAAAATAAAAGGATAAAGACACATTTTGCACTGATTCTGCAAATGGAAATCGCTATCAGTTCAATTTAGTTTGCCGTCTTTTACATATTTCCAGATTCCCCGATTTTACCCACATCAATATTTTACCCGAATACTAGTCGGAAATGCCCGATTTTTGGGGAATTACACAGCCAACGGCAACACTGGTTCTGTTCTAGACAATTCACAATGACGTAACGTCAACTTAACTAAAGGCAGGTATACATAGTACTCTACACTAGAGTAGGTACTCTGACTCTCAACAGGAGTTCCTGAATTTTCCGGTTATAGTCTTCAGTTCTTAACAGGACAGTTGCCTTGCCCTTCACCTTGTACATAAAGCTATAGAAATCCACAAACATACGGAGAACTTCAACAGGAAAGAAGAAACACTAAAACTTAACCAAACCTGGAACCCGATCCTCAAAAACGTAAGAAAGATCCCATTGAGTACAGAGAATGTTCAGACTAGCCACGTGCTGCGAAGCCCCGCCCCTCCCCCACCACAGCCACTCACACATAAATACAACTTACGGTCGGGAACGCGTCAGTCTACTACCAGAATCGGACATGGACGCACCTCTGAAGATGCTAGCCACGCGTGCTAGCGAAACGTCAGGAGAAAATTAAAACTTACGACGGCCAATAAGCCCGAATGAAAACACTTTATCAATAAACCTGGGCCGCGAAAGCCTCACAAACTTTATCACAAATCAGGTCATTAAAAAAACAATTAATACTAAAAAAATTAAGCAAATAGCTCATAAATAATATGAAAACAAACTCTAATATGCTGCTGATCTCTTTTACTACACTAAAATATTTGAAAAAAAAATTAAATGGGGTTTTGTTGCGAGCCTGAATAAGAACGAAAACAGACCTCATGAAAAAGTTTCAAAATGGAATAAAAAAGATTCTTACTCATTTCTAAATATTCGTCAAATAAAGCAAGTCTTCCAGGATCTTGTAAATGATAGTCCTGTTCCCATCTTGTATGCTTCCTAGACAAATCTTTGGTATTTGATCTGTGAGATCTGTATCTCCACCAATTGTAGAATTTTCTATAGCAAAAATTAACAGTCAATAATTATTAACAAAAAAAATACGAACAATTACATACGGATTGAATATTTCCACAAAATTATTTAAAATTTGCTTGCCGATCATTATAATGGCTAGTTGAATGCAAAGTTCACTTAGACAACCTGCAGGATCACATATGTCTCCTTTTACTCTGAAAAATTCGTTTTTTTTGCTAATCGTGTCACCAGGGTAATCGAAAAATCTACCCTGAAATTAGAAAATTTTGCAGTTTCTGAGGAATAATTAACGCGTTCTCACCTTAAAAAACGCAATATAAATCAACGAAGAATAAAAATTCATAAACTCGAAAAGAAATATTTTAAATGTGTATGAATCTTCGTATTCAGTTTGAGTCCTGGGACTTTCCAAGTTGGTTAAGTATATTGCCAGTCTATGGTAGCCCTAGAAAACAATATTTTAATTTTTTTTTTAATCACAAGTAGACGTAATTTTACCCTTGTAAGAGACATAATAAAAATAAGATTGATAACAGCAGCGCTGACAGAAGTAACAATTTTAGCGTGGTGTTGCAAAAAGCTGCCACTTGCATAGATAATCGTTACTAAAGAGAGTCTGTATATTATTGTCCCAAGTACTGCCAATAAAACTACAAACAGCTAAAAAAAAACAGTAAAATAATTAATAATTTGGCTCATTTTATATATTTACCATAAAAAATACAGCACTTCCTGTTATGACGAAACGAATAACTTTTTGAGAAGTAGGAAGATATGGTTCTTTTTCTCTAGTCACAGGATTTGTTCTAAAAGTTTTGACACTTGTTTCAAACTCCGGTCTTGGTTCTTCATCTTGGTCTGTACCCTGTAAATCCCACTCCCACTGTATAACGCTCTGTTTTCTTTGCCATAGCTCCAAAAATACAGTTGCTACAAAAAAATATAAACAGTTTTTGTGGTATAAATTCATAAGTTCTTACCCCAAAGACTCATAAAAATAGCAAAAAATACTGTTGCAGGATTGTCAAATAAGTAAGTGAGTTTGGCAAATTTGCAACTATCTAATAGTTTTGTATAATCACAGGCTTTATCGCACAAAGGACATAATGTTATATTTCCTGGACCATTTGGATCACAAATTTCATGCCTAAAAATAACCACAAAAAAACTCAGCATTCAATCAAGAAATGTATAAAACCAAAAACTTACCATCACAAAAATAGTCCAACAGTGAAAAATGTGCATATTACTTCAATCACACAGATAAGTGCTACAAAAACTTGTGCTGGACATTTACATTTTTTACTCACGTTGCTGTATTGTCCATACTGTCCATAGTTAGTACACCATACATAAAACATAAAGTGCCTACGATCGCAGGAGAAATGAGCATTTTAGTGTAGAACCCCAACCAGCAAAAATACAGGCCGATTTTGTCGCCGAAATATTTCTTAACTAAATTAAGCGGTTGTCTTTTGAGCATTTTACCGAAATTTGCCCATTCTAAATAGAGCAACTGAAATTTATATTTGTGATAATTTGTAACTTATATAAAAAAAATTACCCTCCGATCTAACATAGTGCCATCAGGCTCTCCCTGTTCCCATTTGCCTTCATGTAAAGGAAAACAGGCTACGAAAGTACCATTGTTTAGTAATCTTCTGATTCCAACTCTGTCAGTGTCGTCAAATTTAACCCTTAATAATATTTGCATCACTACTAGACTTCTTTGTGCACTGGAATAACTTGTGGTTCTATCTTTCACTACAAATCTGGTAAATGCTAATTTTTTAACAACTTGAATGTTTTTTTTTTTTAATTTACTTACTGTTCTTCTCTATCCCTCGCTTCTGTAGCATCATAAAACGATGGTTCCTCCGGGATCAAATTATGATTGTACTCGAAAAAATTTCTTAATCGTTGTTGCCACTTCTGCCACATGGACATGCCTTTATTCTGATCTCTTTTGTCATCCTACCAATAGCAAATTAGAATTTATACAAGATATTTTGTTTTCGAATCTTACCCAAGCCTTAACAGAAATAGTAATAAACCTTTTGACAGGCAGCTTCATCCCCATTAAGGCTGCGTATCGGGTTTTCGTTTTCCATGGTAAATGAATTTTGAGGAACCAAGTTTTACCGTCGAACGAAAGGTCTTTGTGTTCTAGTTCAAGTTCGAGACCTTCTTTCACCAAGTTTTCCTGAAAGACTTTTCTGTTATCTCTTCTTCTAGCTTCAGCTTCGGTCATTACGCCAAGTTCTTCTTCTTCATATACCAAAACCATATCGATTTTTCTCCTACCATCTCGGAAATACAGACTATCTGGATCGAGAATCTGGAATAAAACATTGTAGAATGTTCGGACAAAAGTTCTTTTATTTACTTGGGATTTTTCAGCAGGCGTTGCTGCCGATGTGGATAGAGTATATGTGGGTTCCTCATCAGGCGTATCGTCTTGGACCAATGACGGAAGTGGAGTGCCAGGCAAAGTCATAGTTTCATCATTGTCTAGCCGAGCTCCAAATGCCGAAGAAAGGAAATTTCCTGCTTTTGGCTAAAAACAAAAAATTGTTATTGTGAAACAAATACGTAGTATTGACGTCAATGATAGTAATGAATATTTTAGGACTCATGTAGTCAATGACTAGGTATATATCCTTTTAATGAGTATTGAGTAATAATGGTCTATTTTTAGACTATATTTCTTTATTTGTATTACTAGAGTTATTATTAGATATTATAGGGTTGGTAAATAAAGATTATGCTCTGCGTTTCTAAGTGGATAATGGCCATTCTGAAATACTGGATAGGTGTTTGCCGATTAGGCAGATTAATTCTAATATTGTCACGAAACGTCTCTGCTTCGCTGTGTAGCTCAACTATTCACCCTGAAAAGCAGAACGGGAAGGGGGGAGTAACAGGGAAACACCAGAACAGTTTTTTTATAAATAGCTAATATATATTGTTACAAGACGGAGATTACGGAGGCATGAGTATTTAGTTATTACCACATCATTATCATATGGGACCAGATAACGTCCCTTCGGGTGGTGAGGCTCAAAAAAGGGCGGACAGTCAAACGTCGGGTATACCCCTGCAAAGCTAAACAACCAAACCAGCCCTACAGGAAAATCTAGAAAGCCTTTTCACTGTAGGTCAAAGCCTGGGTAGTCAGAGAGTATCTGCCCTGATAGAGATACGATAGCGTAAGTTATGTAGTTGAAAATCTTCCACTATTATTTACTTAATGTTAAGATAATGCATCTACTTTCTAAAGTATTTACTCTAAGGATATATTTATGACTTTTTCCAATATATAAGTGTGTAATCAACCTTAGAAGTTATGTTAGTGTTACTGAAGACTTTGTACTGTTAGCATAAGTTTGTAAACCTAATTTCGAAAATAAAAGTTTTTTTTACGGTTTCGCGTAAACGAGAAACTTAACTGGCGCAGTCGGTAGGATTCCAGAAGGCGAATTCCTGAAAATCGCAGTATTTTGCAATTCGTCGTTGGTTTCAACCATTCGTCTGGAGAAAACAGGGACAAGGAAAGACTCTGAGGACTTCAAGTAAGTGTTGAGTACCTTCTATTTTTCCCGCACTTTTCCTTAATACCAATAATTATAGGCATATTCTGTCTCAAAAATCTTAAATTATTCTCAATTATTTTTACAATTTTCTCTTTATACTTATTAAATAACAATGACACAACCAGCAGCCACCGCTGAAGCTCTGGCTAGAAATCTTGGAAATATCAGTTTTACTGTGCCAACTATCCAGGCAGCAAAAGAAATTGCACGAATTCTTAGGAATTTCACTGGTCGTAGTGATCACCTAGAATCTTTCATTAATTCAGTTGACAAATTTCATGCTAGATATGGTCAAACGACCGATAATAACCTAAATGAATTCGTTTTCGCTTCAATTTGTTCGAAAATTATCGACGAAGCTGGCGACTTTTTATTGTGCAGACCAGATCTAGAAACCTGGCCACAAATTCGACAAGCCTTACGCGAAAAGTATGGCGACAAAGTCAATCGTCACGTTCTACAGCAACAATTCATTTATTTAACAAGAAATAGAAATGAAAACATTGCAGAATTTCTAGAACGACTAAAACTCTCAAAAATGCGTCTCAACTTAAAAATTAATTCAGACCCAGATATCAATGATCAAACAAAATTAGTATTGATAGATCAAAATGAAGTAACAGCAGTTACAGTTTTGATGGCTAATTGCAATACTGAACTTAGAACATTATTAACGTTAAAAAATCCCAAAAATATCGAGGACGCGACGTCTTTAGTTTTAAACCACTCTTTATTAGAACAACAAATCAACCTGAGACAACAATCTTACCAGAAACTTGTAAATAAACCCAATCACAATAATACTAACATCAGAGCATACAACAATAATACAAATCATAATAACACCAATTACCAACCAAGATATGTACAAAATACTCCTACCTATACCTCAAACCAGGTGCAGAACCAAAATAATACTTACAGGAATCCCCAACAACAAAGCTCTTTTCCGAACTCAAAATTCCCTAGTCAACCTATAAAAATGGAACCACGTCCGGTTCAACCTAAGTACTTCACTAACCAGGAAGTATTTGGCAAACCAACAAATGTGTTTTCACCGAAAAATTCTCACAAACCCCAAGGTAAAGCAGAACCTATGTCAACCACAAGTAGATTACCCTCTACAAGAAATTTTAACAATCAGGCACCACGAAATCATTTCCAACGAACTGGACCTCCAAACTTCACATTCCAGGAATTAACCAATGTGGAAACTGACCAACCCGATGACAATCCTGTTGTAGAATACAACGAATCCAACGAATATGAAGAAAATAATTACTATTCAGAAAACACAGAGCCTGAATCCCAAGAAAATTTATCTACTTGGTACGAACCAAATTTTCAAGAGGCCGAGCCTCCAATAGATCAGTCATAGATCTTAATAATTTCATGGCAAATTCCCTACCATTTATCCAAATAAATCAACCCCCTATCAAACTGCTCATTGATACGGGATGCCACCCATCATTATTACGACCTCACATCGCAGAACAATATTTTCCCGACGCATCAGTCTTCTATTCGAAAACACCAATCGTAACTTGTACAGGACAAAGTAATTCAAATTCTAAAGCAATTATCCCTCTGTTCACAGAATTTCAACCTCTAGTCGGTAATATAGAATTCGTACTATATAACTTCCACGATTATTTCGACGGCATTATAGGAATACGCGACTTAAGAAAACTTAAACTAAACATAGACACTACTAATAAAATGCTTTTTAATGAAAACATAATGATTCCTCTTCATTACCGACAGGAATTCGATTACCAGAAAATTGAAATTCCTGCTTTCACAACAGTTTTAAAGCAAATTAAAACCGAATTACCAGACGGTGAAATTTTAATACCCGATCTTAGTAACAATGTCATCAACATACCAAGTTCACTTTTAAAAATCGAGAACGGATTAACAACCTTAGAACTTTCTAATCCGACAGATAAATCAGAGCTAATAGAAATAGATCAAGATTTTTTAACCCCGTTCGCAAAGGAATACCATGAAATTCATTACGAGTGTTTTCACATAGAACAACTATCCCCTTCATTCACACCAGGAGACGACACTTTTGACTTCTCCTTGATTCGAACCGATCACATGAACCCTGAGGAAAAAACAGCCTTAAAAATCTGCTTTCAAAGTATAAAGCAATATTACATCAACCCAACCAGAAACTTACATTCACTAGCAAAATCAAACATGAAATCAAGACAACAGACGACATACCCATCTATACCAAATCTTATAGATACCCCTTTGTACATAAAGCTGAAGTCCAAAAGCAAATATCAAAAATGCTTGAAGACGGAATAATTAGACCATCACAATCCCCCTGGAGTTCCCCCATTTGGATCGTCCCAAAGAAGATTGACGCCAGTGGTAAACAGAAATGGCGAATAGTTGTCGACTACAGGAAGGTGAACGAAAAAACAATTGACGACCGATATCCTTTGCCCAACATCACAGACATCCTAGACAAACTTGGAAGGTGCCAATACTTCACCACTCTCGACCTAGCCTCTGGCTTTCACCAGATCGAAATGCACCCAAATTCCGTCTCTAAGACCGCCTTTAATGTCGAAAATGGACATTATGAGTACCTAAGAATGCCCTTCGGACTCAAAAATGCCCCCTCGAGCTTCCAGAGAGTAATGGACGATGTCCTAAAAGGCCTTCAAGGAAAAAAATGTCTTGTCTACATGGACGACATAATAATATTTTCGACATCTCTTCAAGAACACATAAATAATCTAGAACAAGTCCTTGGAAGACTAAGAGACGCTGGACTTAAAATTCAGCTCGACAAATCGGAATTCTTGTGCAAAACTGTCGAATTTTTAGGCCATATAATAACACCTGAAGGTATAAAACCCAATCCAAAAAAATTGAAAGCAATTGAAAATTTCCCAATTCCAAAAACCCCCAAGGAAATAAAGTCCTCTCTAGGATTAGTCGGCTATTACCGCAAATTTATAAAGGATTTTGCGAAGTTAACAAAGCGCATGACGCACTGCCTCAAAAAAAAATCAAAAGGTCGAACACAGCCCCGAATTCGTCAATTCTTTCAATACTTGCAGGAAAATCTTAATGAATGACCCCATTCTCCAATATCCCGATTTCTCAAAGCCCTTCAACTTAACTACGGATGCATCTAACTTTGCCATAGGAGCAATCTTATCTCAAGGCCCTGTAGGTAACGACCTTCCAGTCGCCTATGCCTCTCGAACCCTGAATCCTTCAGAGATCAATTATAGTACTATAGAAAAGGAACTTCTTACTATCGTATGGGCAGCCAAATATTTCAGACCATATTTATTCGGAGTCAAATTCAAAATAATTAGTGATCATAAACCCCTACAATGGCTATTTTCTCTAAAAGACCCAAATTCTAAACTGATCCGATGGAGACTTAAACTTGAAGAGTACGACTACGAAATTGTATACAAAAAAGGCAAATTAAACACTAACGCTGATGCACTTTCTCGTGTGGAAATTAACCCCATGGAACTTGACCTCGATGATACAATTTCAATGATCGCAAACGCAGGCGATGCAGTCAACTTACCGAATCTTTCAAAAGAGGAAATCGATGAAATCCTTGGAATTTCCAACAATTATTCCTTGAATAAAAATGAAAACCCTGATCAAACTTCAAAGGTAGTCATTCACGAAAATGTCGTTATAAAACCCGCGAATAATACAATTCACCCAGCAACAGGAAGCAATGAATCTGCCCCAATACCGAATACCACTGAAGATACAGATAATGAAACAGCTCATTCAAGCCACAGCGACCCCATAATAGGCGCTACCTATACAGAAAAAAGTATTAACACTTATAAAAATCAAATAATAATCTCTAGCCAAAAAGACCCATTATATTACAAGGTTCATAGAGAGACTATTTTCAATAAAACTAGAATACACCTTACAGTTTCAAAAACAAGAAATGATGAAC